TAGCTGTGGCATCTGTTGTTTGAAATTGTTGAAGCATTCAGGCAGCCTCTTGCTCTTCGAATGAAAGCTCCCTGATAGGACTAAGCTGCCGACCATTACGGTCTTGCTTCAAAACCGAATTAAGGTGGTATCCAGGAGCACACGAGCCACCGAGACCGCTGTAATCCGGTGAAATGTCAGTGGATTCAGATATTGAGCTTGTTGGAGATGTGCTGTGTCTGTTTTCTATTTTTTTTTTTTTTTTTTTTTTGAAGTTTCCGGGTGGTTGACAGGCGTTTGATGTGCAGGATCATTGGTCGAAATATGATCTAAAACATATTAGAATCCTTAGAGAAGAAAAGTGGTCGGGTTTGAAACCTTATCCATGAGAAGATTGGACGGGTGAATAGTCTTAGAGGACCGTTATCAACCTTGTTGTATTGTGGGACTCTAAGCGAGCTAGCTACAACTAATAAATATATAGGTGCACGTGACCTCGGGTAGCCAGGGAATCCTCCAACACCTCCCCATGCCACGGTGAGCCCGAGCTCTGCCCTATCCCCTACTGAATGCCCTCAAATCCGCAATAAAAATTAAATACAGGAATCAGAGGCTAGTTTCCCTATTAGGAAAAGCTCTATTACGCCTCTGTACTGTAACTTTGCAAAGAAAGCACACAATTATTCTCCTAACCTGTATTCTCATTACACCTCCTTAAGGGCTGCAAAACCATGTAGAATCAATCATCCTCATCAATGAGGCCAGACCTCCATCAATCCTATTTTCTCCACAAATTCATTGTAAGCTGGCTTTGGCAGGAACTTTGTAAATCCATCTGCTTTATTTGCTGTAGAATCTACATGTGAGAGCTCCACCTCTCCCTTCTCAACTAGGTCATGAAGTATATGATAATGAACCTCTATATGACAGAATCTCTTTGTCAAGGACTTCTTCTTTGTCAGATCAATGACATCTTTATTATTCACCTGCAATGTTGTGCAGATCTTTGACTTCTCTTTCATCAGACCTGCATCTTGCAGCATATCATTCAATCAAATAAGCTCACATATAGCTTCAATAGTGATGATATATTCTACTTATGTTGTTGATTTTGCATTTGATGTTTGATGTTGTAAGTGCTATAATATTGAGAATTCATTAATCATGATGATATAGTCAGATGTTGCTTTATATTAATAATCTGCATCTACTCAATCTGAATCATAATAAGTAACTGACTATAAATTTCTATTATCTTCCTCATTTTTGTAAACTATTCTCAGGGTTTTTGTCTTCTTTATATAGTGAAGAATATGCTTCAGAGTCATTCAGCAGTCCTTATTCAAGTGTAAGTTGAATCTTGATAGATAATTCATAGTAAATATCAAATCTGACCTTGTACTTGATATGAGATATTGAAGTGATTCAAGCTTCTAATGATATCTTATAGCTGTGAGCTCATCTTCCAATTCATCATCTCTCTCTGAGGCAAATTCAAGTTGTATACCTGTCATCATAGATGTGTCAGTGGGGTTAATTTTATTCATTCTAAAATTTTTAAGAACCTCTTTAATATAGTGAGTCTGTGAGATCATTAAGTTATCATTTGATCTATATTTGATCTTCATATCAAGATAAGACTTATCTTTTTCAATATTTTTTATGTCAAGTTTCTTTTATATCTCACTCAATATTCAATTTAATTCTATCTCTTTGAGGCTTATAACCCTGCAATTATCAACATATAGTATTAGATAAATCTTGCAGATAGAATAAAATAGAAATTCTTCATTATATTTTGAAATTTTGAATCTTAGTGATGTGAGATGCTCTGTTATCATAAAATATTAGATTCTTGTAGCTTGCTTCATACTATACAAGCTCTATTTAAGAAGACTTATCAGTTTCTCTTTTTCATATTTAATGTCTGTAAATAACTACATATAAACCATTTCATCCTGTGGCAGTACATTATTTAAAAATACTAATATATAATCAATCAACTTTGATATTTAATCTCTGATAGTTGATATAGTGAATAGAGAGTGACTTGTAGATTCTGAAACAACTACAGCATAGAACTTGAAGTAGTGAATGCTCTGCTGCTGCAGAAATTCTCTAATTACTCAGCAGACTCTAAAATAAAATATTTCATCTCTGTTATTCAACTTACAGTTAAATATTTATTTATCTGTCAGTATATTTATCTCAGATATCTTCTCAATAATAATGTATATCATCTTATTCTTGAATATTTTAACTTCTTTTTTCATTATCTCAAGTCAGTGATTTTAATCTGAGCTCTTTTTCACTTCTGCCAGATTATTTGAGTGATTCATAAACATGCTCAGGACAAAATCCATGTCACTAGCAGATATCTCAGATTCATTATTCTTGACTAGCTTTATCTCATCAAGCAGATAGACTGAATCAATGATATTTTTTAAGTCATCATTAATCAACATCTTCAGAATTTCTGATTTATCTTTTGTTAGTTGTTCTAGTAGACAGTGACATCAGTTATTCAAAGAGTCAACAATATTTAATTTTTTTGACAGTTTGATGTCTTCTCTCATCATCTCAATAGCTTCACTTACAGCATTCATAGGAACAAATTCTGTGATAAAATCTTCATCAAAAATAACATTTCTAGCAATTTCTAATATGTATTCTTTTGAGTTTCATATACAGTATTGATGTAATTCTTGATAACTTATCAATTATCATTTCTTGTCATCTGTTCTGTCTATGAGCTTATTTGTCACTTTCAGATTCTTCTTGTAAATCTTGTATCCTCATCTGCAGATTCAATGAGCTAATGATTGAATCTTTGTTTAGACTTCAAAAGATGTCAATGAACTATTATCTTTGTAATCAAAAATCTTTATTAATATAGAAGATATATTTATCAATATTACAGCTATTTATATTGCTTCATCTTAAAGCTCTTTGACAAGCTTACTATCAAATAGTAGACTTCTTGTCTTATTCATCATTAATTAATTCACATGTTCTGCAGAGTCATTTGATTAAGATGTATCTAAAGTTGTCACTTTATACACTATTCTCTTATTCTTGCAAAACATCTTGAGATCATCACTTTTAAACTTTTTATCATTATCTCAGTGCAGAGTCTCTACAGATTATTAAGATATTGTCTCAATTATGTCAATGAAGCTCATAAGTGCTAATATGACCTCTGCTTTTATGACAATCAGAATAATCTACTTAAAGTGAATGATGTCATCTATAATTCTCATTTAGTATCTTGCATCTTCTTTAGTAAGTAGATTTTCTTCATCATATAGTGTTTTTCTCTCTTCTACAAGGTTCACAAAAAATCTTATTGCTGATTTGACAGCTTTGCTTATTGAAGTAAAGAGCAAACAGATCATTTTTGCTTGTATACATATCTTGCAAAATGACAAAATTCTTTAATCTCTTATCTGCATCTCTAGTCTAGAATCTATAGTTATTTTATATATATCTATTGAATTTAAATGACTCAGCTTTTGATATCACTATATCATTATATATTTCAAAGTCTTAATGTTCCTTTTGAACAGCTTCATTAGAAGATTATCATTTGATTGCAAGACATATGTAGGTTCAAAATCATTACTTGATATTGCAAAATAAATTAAATCTTTTAATGCTAGGGATTTTTTCATTATATAGATATTTTTTTCATTCAAATGCACTATAAAACCTGTCATTCTGTCAGAAGACATCATCAAAATTGAATGATTATTGCTATATGCTAATTGTTTGAAGATATAATCTTTATATACAAGTTTTCTAAAATTTATTAGATTTACTTCCAGCTTTGAGATATAATAGATATCATCCAGTTCAATATCTAATTTCTCAGTTAAAATATATATCTTTTTTACACCTGCTACTGATGTTGTAGATTCATCTATTATCTCCAATATGATATTCATTCGTTAAAGTATAACCTCAATAATATTCTTCAGAGATATAGTGTAAGCTTTTGATTCAGAGTCTAGAACTCAGATATTCTCTATCACTTTATTACTGAAATAAATCATCTCTTTTATAGAGAATACTTACTTTATAACATTATGAACTGAAATAGTACTATTTTTATTCTTATATTTATTCTATTCTTTATGATCTGCAGAGTGTTTTTCTGAATATTTTATTCAATAGTCAATTATAAGATGCTCTGTCTTCTGACAATGATAATATATCTTTTTCATATTATTGCTATCTTACTTGAACTTCTTATTTTTATCTTTATCTTTAATTCTCAAATTCTTATTCTTACCTTTATTCTTTTTCTATGAATCTTGAGTATTATTTGTAAAATATCTTATATTTATCAAGATAGTATTTTGTCTAGCAACTGATAGATATAATAGAATATCTCAACATAGTCTCATAAAATCTGTCTCAATATTACAAGTATTGGTATCTTTTTCAATGTAATTCATTCTATCTCTAATGAATAATACTTATTCAGCACTGACATCAGTTAACAAGTTATTGAAAAGAATAAAATCTTTAATTTTATATCTCAAACAAGTATATTTAGTCTGAATAATGATCAGATATTCTATAAAAGCTCTATCTGAGCCTTTTGTCTTAGCTGTTAAGCTAATCAGTTTCTCAAAAAAATGAGTGTGATAGACTGCAGATCTCTCTGAAAAGTTTTCTTCTATAATTATTTATAGAATATATGCTGACAATTGATGATTTGAGAGTATTGTAAAATGAAATTTTACCTGTGAGAAAATTGAAGACAATATATAATTATAAAATTATATATTTTTTTTAGTTTAAAAATGTTACATATTTATACTAACATCATTTTTTAGAGTAGATTGCTTTTCATTGAGAATATTATTAATTTCAGATTATTTAATAATCAGTATCATCTCTTTTCTTCATATTGAATAGTTCATAGAATCAGTCAAAATAACAAATTTCTTGATATGCTTTATTTGATCTCTAAATTCAGTCAAGATCTTTATTATGATAGTAGTTCTGTCTTTTTTCTATAGATAGTTTGCAAGATTTTCACTCATTTCATTGCTGCTAGCATTGATAATAAGTATCTCTCTGCTAGCTTTCATTATTTCAACTTCTTGCTGAAGTTTTGCAATCTTTAATCTTATCAGAGTTTCTTTACTAACTCCTGATATCTGGTTACTAGAGTCAACTGTATTCTCTGACATTTTGTCAATCAGGTCTTCATATATGTTATTAGACTTATATAATTCCTTTATAATCATCTTGTCTATTTTAAATACTTCAGAGACACTTCTAAAGACTATAATAGATGTATACAGTAAATCTGCAGGCTTTGAAGTCCTATTCTTCAGGGTTTTATTCTTAGATCCTTGGTTTTATTTTCTTTTTGACATGTATTCTTCTGTCAAATTTAGTGTTCCACCTGAACATAGATTAACTATTGATGTTGTTCAATTTTTTTTATATTTTTCATTGTTCATTCATAGCTGTTCATTTATAGCTTCTCCTCATGTTATTCACAGCAAAAGATTTCTAATTCAAAGGTCTCATAATCTCTTAAAAGACTGTTATCAACTTTGTTATATTGTAGGACTCTAAATGAGCTAGTTATAACTAATAAATATATAGATGCATATGATCTCAGATAGCTGGAAAATTCTCTAACAAATAGCATTATCATCTTTCTAGCTTATGATATTTTTACTGTCTAAAAGATAGCTTAGAGCTTCTTTAAAAAGAGCAATTATATTTTCCTTCTTTATATTTATTATGTGATGCTAATACTCTCTAGACTAGCTCCTTGCCCTCACACTACTTATCACACTGCTCACTAAAGTGCTTACCTTCTCACACTGCTTATCAAGCATCTTAGGATCAGCACCTCTAAAGGATTAGCATTATCTCAAGATTCAGCTCTTGAGATCTACACAGATCAGCACTTCTCAAAAATCAGTTCTTTAGAATCAGCACTTCCTGAAGGATAGGATCAGCACTTCATGGAAAATCAGACTATTATATTACTAAATTCCCTCTTTCATGAAAGACTAGAGATAAAACCTATTGCTACTCATTCATATATATAAATACTCTGAATCCCTAAAGTTCTTGAAGGGATTCAGTAGTTAGCTACTATTCAATTCTATATATACATTTTCATCTATTGCTATCCTCTTCCTTCTGTAACACTCACCACATCTATATACCTACCCTCTTACAATCCTAGTTATAGAGTTTCTCATGCTTCCTTTTGACTCTCAGTTCATTCACTCTAAGTGTCTTCACAGGTTCTAACCACTCTAAGAGAGGTTGCCTGTTAAGCCTATAACAATAGGTCCAAAATGTAACTTATGAACTGACACCCCATACACAATATCTAATAAAGAAGTGCGTGTAGAAGAAACTCTCTATAAAAAATCATCAAGTCTGACTTCAGAAAGAAATACTGAAGCACCTCACATATCAGTTGATGAAGAGATTCAGATAGTTCAACAAGAACAAGGATATCAAGAAATATACAAAAAAGTCTTTGAACTACAATAACAAGTCAACACTTTTAGTGCAGAACTTCAAATCTCTAGAAGCAAACAGCATGAAGTGGAGCCAACAGATTATATCATTAGCACCAATCTCACTCATCTCAAGCCTCATCCCACACTAATTTGATAACTCTCAAATGAGTTTAAGGCAAAAAGTCTCAAGAAACTAGAAGACTTTACCTCCTCAAACCTTGTCTTCTATACCTATCAAGGACAGTACTTTGAAAATGATGATGAATATAAGATTCTTGAAGTAGCAACATATTTTGATGCCAAACTACAGCAAAAATGACAACAATACTACCTCAAACTGGAGACATCAATTACCTGGGATAAATTCTATAACTGGATTCATGCTAAAATCATCAACCCAGACAAAGCAAGCCAGGACTATGAGTTGAAGTATCAGGCATTAAGGCAATCTGAAGGTCAAACTGTTCATGACTTTGTGTTCATCCTTCAGTTAATTAAGAGCCACCTCCTTGAGAAATATAGTAATTATCAGTGAAAGATGCACCTATTTGACAAGATTTTATCCTCTCTTCATGCAGAATTTGAGAGATATGCAGTCAAGCTATATGATCTCTTCTACAATGCTTTCATCACAAAATTGAGTATTGTGGAGAGCAACATTCTGAAGACTATCACATCAGTAGATACAACTACACAACAAAAAAGCACTACTCACAGAAAAAGTCCACATGATGATACATCAACAGCACTTAAAAAGAAAAGCTGGAAATGCAAGAAGTGCTCTGACATCTGATGTGATGTTCACTGAAGCTCTACACACTTCAATGCAGACTGCAAGGCTCAGAAGGACAAGGACAAGTCCTCTGAAGACAAATCCTCAACTTCAAAGTCTCCATCAAAACCCTCTTTCAAATCAAATCCTAAAGAGTCAAAAAATAAATATGAAGTGTCATTCATGCTACAATGATAACTCTTAACACTTTCAAAAGTCAGCAATCACTAAGTCTATTCTTTTTTCTTCCTGTTCAAATTCCAACACTCACAGAAGATACATCAATTCTCACTCTTATAGATTCTGAAGCTCAGGCAAGTTTTATCAGTGAATTCTGAATCAAATCACACAAATTGCAACCAACAGAGTGCACATCATGCAGAATATAGAGGTTTGATGATCACTAAACACATTCATTTGAAACTATTGATCTAGGGATAGAAGTCTCAGATAGCAAGGAAACTACAGTCAGAGAATCTCACTCCTTTCATATTGTCAAACTTTCAGGCTATGATATAATATTAGAATTTCCCTGGCTCAAACAACTCAATCCTCTCATTGATTGGAAAGATGAAGAATTCTATTTCTGTCAAAAATCAAATAATCAAGAGATAACTCTAAGTGTGACAGATGCTGCTAATGAATTACTCACTGGCGCCTCTGGCTATGTACTTACAATAGTACCTGCCTCAATCTCACAAGCCTCTGGACCTCTCACCAGAACCTCAAAGGACCCTGCATTCACCTCTGGGCTTCATGCTGAGGGTCTTCAGGCCTTTGTACAGGCCTCTGAGCCTTTTCCTGAAATTTCAACAATTTTAAAAGACAATCTACTTGCAAATACAGCTTTCATCAATGACTTGCCTGATTATGCCTGACCATATATGCACCTTTTCTCTGAAGAGGGCGCATCCAGCACATCTGTACCTGATGCAGAGCACTCAATTAATCTTGAGAAAGAAGTCAGACTCTCATTCATGCATATCTACAATCTCTCTAAAACAGAGTTGAAAACTTTTCAGAACTACTTGAATAGTGTATTGGAAAAAGGCTGGATATCTCCTTCTCAAAGCTCTGCATGTGCTCCTATTCTCTTTGTTTCAAAAAAGAATGAAGGTCTACAACTCTGTGTAGACTACAGAGGTCTGAATCATCTCACAATCAAAAACAGGTATTCATTACCTCTTGTGAGTGAGATGCTAGATAGACTCTCTGAAGCACAAGTTTTTTCTAAGATTGATCTTAGAGATGCTTATCACAGAATACACATTAGACACAGTGATAGATGGAAAACAGCATTCCACATGCAATATGGCCACTTTGAGTATAATGTTATATCTTTTGGGCTTGCAAATGCCCCTGCCACCTTTCAAGTCTATATAAACTACATCCTAGCAGACCTTCTTGATGTATACTGTGTGGTTTATCTAGATGACATTCTTATCTATTCAAACTCAATGAATGAGCATAAGGTGCATATACAAAAGATACTTGAACACCTAGACTGCGTGAATCTGTTTGCAAAGCACATTAAATGTGAGTTTGACAAAAATAAAACCTTCTTTCTAGGATTCATTGTTGGACCCCAAGGTGTTGAAATAGAATCAGATCAAGTGGCAATCATTACAGAATAACTAGTCTCAACTAGTGTTAAAGAAGTTCAAGCTTTCTTGGGATTTGCAAACTTCTATCATCACTTCATCAAAAACTACTTCAAAATTGTAAGGCCTCTTTTTGATCTCATAAAGACTTCAAAGAAGGGGAAGTGAAAGCCACAGTTCATATAGACAAAAGATGCACAATGTGCCTTTGACACTCTAAAAGAACACTTTATGTGGGCCCCTATACTTGCTCATTTTGACCTAAGTCAAGAAACTCAGATTGAATCTGACATCTTTACAGCAGTAGTGACTGTCATTATCTCCCAAAAACAAGATGATGGTCAATGACATCCAATTGCATTCTGGTCTCACAAACTCCTAGATGCAGAAACATGATATGATACTCATGACAAGAAACTTCTTGCAATTATCACATCTTTCAAGAATTAGCATCATTACCTGAAAGGAAATCAACATTCAATTCTTGTCTATTCTGATCATGCCAATCTTCAGTATTTTATAATGACTAAAACACTGAATTAACATCAGTCTAGATGAGTGGAAGTACTGTCAGCATATGACTTCATCTTGCATCACTACCCAGGCAAACAAAACCCAGCTGATGGACTCAGTCACTGTGCAGATTACATTGACTCTTTTCATGATGAGATCATGCTTTCTATCTTGCAACAGAAGCTTCATCACAGTGTCAAACAGGGTTAGAAATTTAACTCTCACAAAACACTTACAATTCTTGTTAACTGCACACAGATTCATGATCAAGAGCACACACTCTATGTGAAACCTCTTAGAATCAACACTTCAAGCTCTGAGTCTCTCTCAATCTCTGCTCTGAGTATAGACTCTCTCTTACCACTGTATCAGATGCTCATTCACAAGCCCACATCACACTCATTGGAATCACCCAACATGCTGACCAGAAAACCTCTGAAGGAGGAAGACCTAGTTCTGAAGATATGTCTTAGAAATTAAGGTATTCTCAGACTGCTGATTAACATTGCTACAGTCTTCAAATCAGCATATACAGATATATCAGAGTCTCTCACCTCTCTTCTTGTTAAAGCACAGGACTCAGACTTCTTTACAATAGCAAAGAAGCAGAAGATAAAAGATAAAAATACAATCTTGAGTAGTGATATATCCTAGATCATCTCAAAAGATAGCCTACTTCAGGCAAACAATAGGGCCTATGTTCTGCTGCAACAAGTGCTGATCAAAGAGATAATTCACATCAATCATGATAATCTACAAGAAGGTCATTTTGGCACAAAACAGTCTATTGAGTGTGTTCAAAGTAAGTA